GGTGGCGCAAAGAGCGCGGCGGAGAGGGCGGCGGCGGCGGCGATGCGGCGACGGCGGCGATGGCGGTGGCGGCGCAAAGAGCGGCGGCGGAGAGGGCGGCGGCGGCGGCGATGGTGGCGGCGGCGCAAAGAGCGGCGGCGGCGATGGTGGCGGCGGCGCAAAGAGCGGCGGCGGAGAAGGTGGTGGCGGCGGCGATGGTGGCGGCGGCGCAAAGAGCGGCGGCGGAGAAGGAGGCGGCGGTCCAAAGAGCGGCGGCGGGCTCGGGGGAGGGCTCGGCGGCGGGCTAGGAGGAGGGCTCGGCGGCGGCGGAGGGCTCGGCGGAGGGCTCGGCGGTGGCGGCGGCGAAGGCACCACGTGCTGGCACTGGGCAACAAAGACACGGCCAGACTCAAGCTCCGAGGCCGGAGCGCCGATGAGCAAATCAACGCAACCATTGCCGTTGAGCTCGCCGGCGTGAAGGGCGTAGCCGAGCTCGGCGCCGATAGAGATGGGCAGCTGGAGAAGAGGGACGGTCGAGTAGGAGAGGCGGACCTCTGTCTGGACGGAGAGTGTGGCCGGTCCTGCGTCAAGGAGCAGGACCGAGACAACGCCATAGTTTGGCCCGATGTCGGGCGCGCCTGGGGCGCCGACCACCAGATCGAGGCAGCCGTCGTTGTTGATGTCGGCCATGGCGACGGCGGCGCCGATCTGGGAGATGAGACCGAGCGACGGGCTGGGGTTCCACCCGATGGCCCCGTCCTCCACCACCACCACGTTGGTCACCGATGTGGTGGACCAGTCCATCTCCAGGAGATAGACCCGGCCGTAGAGGAGGTTGTGCAGCGGCGCGCCGACGGCGATGACCGGCGAGCCGGTTCCGCGGAGGTCGCCGGCGGCAATGGCCGAGCCAAAGCCGCCATCAACGGCAAGTACGTTGAGGCCAGGCTGTGACTGGTCCAGGAGGGTGTAGCTAACGACAGAGCCATCGCTCCGCGAGAGCTTGGCGATGAGGATGGAGCCGTAGACGAGAGGAATCACGCCGCGATCCTTGCCGGCGGCAAGGCCGATGGCCACCATGGTGTGGGTGGCGTAGTTGACGCCCGGCACGCCTTCGATGACGGCCATGGCCGAGCCAAAGAGCTCCCCGACAAGAATGGTGCTAAGGCCGAGACCCGAGCTGTTCTCGATGACCGACGTCCCACTGATGGAGCCATCGCTGGCCAGAAAGACCACAATGGCCTTGCCCGTGAGGCCGAGGGTAGGCGCACCCACGAGGAGATCGGGCACGCCGTCACCGTTGAGATCGCCAGGCGCAGCGAGTGCAGAGCCGTACTTGCCGGCCACTCCAGCGATGATGCCCGAGAGCTGGGGCGTCAGCCGGTTGTGGACCACCGAAGAGCTGGCTGATCCGTCCGAGTTGAGGAAGACAATGGTGACGGTGCCAAAGGTGAGGTCGTCGAGCGGCGAGCCAAAGGCCATGTCGTTGACTCCGTCGCCATTGACATCACCCACAAAGACGATCGAGCTGCCAGAGCGCGAGGCGAGCGGATAGTTGACGGCGGGAGAGGTCGGGACGGAGATGTTGTCGAAGTTGACCGTGTTTGTCCCGCAACCGGTCACTATGCCCACACACGCTGACATGGTCAACATGATGGTCGCGACCGTCATCAGTGCCTTGCCAGCCGTGTTGCATCTAGCCAACACATAGCTGTGGTACTTCATGCTGACGAGAAAGGAGATCAAGGTCCTCCCGATACGCTGCGAGAGAGACGTCTGCCTCACTTGGTCCGCCTATCGCCCGAGCCGCAATTTGCGGAAGAAATCGCCACTCCCAGTCAAACGTTTCATTTTTTTCAATGTTCTACAGAGACCTTGTCGACGAACGTTTGCGAGCAAGCGTCATGGACACAAACTGATGGTAGCGTGCTACTTACAGCCTGCTGTTGACACTGTGCGAGTGGCCCTGATGGCCAGTTGAGTAGGATTCTCTCAGTGTGGCCGTAGCAGCAGAGTGTGCGCAAACATGGTTGCGTAGCGAACAAAACAGACATCCGACAGAACAAGTGTATTTGCCAATTAGCTGTGCCGCACAATTCCGCACCGTACCTGCCATCACAGGCGCAAGACCAACAGCTGGGCGAGTCTGGGCGCGACAGAGAGGAAGCACGGTAGCAGTGGATAATGGGATCACGAGGAGGAGAAGGGGGCGCGTGGGGGGTAGGGAGGGGAGCCCTGGAGGGTGTGAATGTGGGTGCGGATAGGGCTGGTCTTTTACTCGGCGTGCGGCAATTTCTTGTGGGTGTCAAGCAACACCCTCGGTTGCCGGCCGAGCGGTTGCTCCGCTGGCTCGACGGCTTGAGACTTCCTCGCATTTACTGTGCTGACCATCTTTGCCAGCACATAGGGACTCTTAGCAGTCGCAGCAACACACAGCACCTCAATCTGCACAACGATATGTTTGGCTATGTTTCGTTTGCATTCAATTGCGGCTCCGAGATGGAGAGCGCGATGGAAGCGTGCGAGTGGAGATGACTCGCATGGTGTCGTCGCTTGAGCTACTCGGGACCCGTGGTGCCGTGCGGTACCGGTCGAGTTGGTCCGCGGCGATGAAATCCGCGTTGAGAGCACTCGCATGGTGTCCGGATCGGACGACGAGAGAACGCTCGACGTCGAGTTGTCCAGCGCGTCTGCCGACGGTACGGAGGCGATGATGAGGGCGGCAGGCTCTGCAGATGGAGTCCGCGAGCGCGAGCGCGAGCGCGATGAAGGCTGGTACGTCACACGCGATGAGATGATACGCATGTTGTCGCCGCTCGAGCTCGAGCTGCTTGAGGCCGAGATAAAGCGCGGCACTGGTCGCCCTGCATCACCTGAGGCACGGCGTTTGCGGCGCGCGACCGTGGCCTTGGGCGGCCCCGCCGAGGGCGTCGACGGCGAGCGCGTGAATGGGGACGCAGCGGTGGGCATGGGCCGGAGCCGGGCGTTCGCGGCACGAACGCGTGAGCGCGAACGCGATGGCGAACGCGAGTACGTCACGCGAGTCGACACAATTCGCATCATATCCCCCTCGGACGAGTCGTCACTAGAGACGTCCGAGATAGTTGGGACAGCAGGGTTAGCTGCTGCGACAGCCCGCGCCTTGGCGAGCATGCCAAACGGCATCGAGGTTGAGCGGCCAAGGGCGGCCATCGGCGGCATGATGGGTATGGGGCTGCGGCTCGGTCCGGCAGAGTCAAGGCGGAGCTGCGAGAGGCGCGTCGCACTGACATTACGCGAGCGCGAGCGCGAGCGTGAGGGCGACGGATGAGAGACCCTGTTGGAAACAATGCGCATCGTGTCTGACGACGACGACGACGCCGCGACTGTGACTTGCGCCGAGGAAATTGGCGCCTGATGCTGGCGAGGTCGTGTCTGGATGGTTGCCAACGAGCGCGGCGAAGCCAGGCTGCCGACGCGCCGCAACGTCTCCAGCGAGGGATCCCGCGAGGGTCGGCTGCACGAGAGATCCCGAAGCGGGTTGGACAGATCGCGAGAGGCGGCTGTCGAGCGGCGGCGAGAGCGCGTGCGGCGGAAGGCACGAACCTCGCGCGAGTAGCTTCGAGAGCGGTCAAGGTGAATCTCGGACGACGGAGAGTGGAGCAGCTCGTTGAGCTTCTTCAGTGTCCCGTCGATCTCATCCCGCCGCGGCGACATGGGCATGGCCTGGGCGCGGCGCGGGTCGACATGAGCGTAGAAGTTGGGCGCATCAATCGAGCTAACAGACTCACTGTCGCTTGATGAAGCGGCAATGGTCGACGAGGAGTCGATGGGTGGCAGCTGAGCGTGGGATGCCGAGTCAACGGCAAGGTCGAGCGAGCCGATGGACGCACCAAAGAGCTCAGCTTCGTTTGAGGCGCCAGGCACGACATCGGTGTCCGGTGTGGCACGTGGTGGGGTGAGGTCCTGGGCAAACATCTCGACCCGGCGGCGCTGTGCCTCGGCGCGCTCAGCAGCCGAGACCAGGAGCGCCTGGCGTGAGGCGAGCGGAAGACCCTTGGTCGTCACACGGGCATTTGGCAGAGCAGGAATACCATCAACACCCGGCATGCTCAGCCGGCGGTTTGTCTGGCGAACAGGGATTGCATTGGGCGGCGAGGGGATGACCTGACCGGCTGCGAACGCAGTTGGCGGCTCTGGCGACGGGTCCTTGAGAAAACCACCAGAGATGACTCGAAGTGGCGGGAGCGGCGCGATAGACGGCCTGGACCGCGGTCGCGGCGCAGGAACGGCATCATTCGTACGACCAGGAGCCCGCGGGATCGGTGGGAGCGGAAGAATGGTCATGGTCGGCTCCGAGTACTCGTCCGAAAGCGACGACGTCGACGGGGGAGGGAGCTTGTCGGCGTCAAAGCGCTCGCGGTTCTCGCGGAAGAAAACGAGAGCAAAGCAGCAGAGGCAGCAACAGCAAAGCAGGACAATCATGGCGAGGATGAAGATCCACCACCAGTCCCCGCGATTGCGGTAAAGGTCGGCGCCCGAAATGGTCGACACGAGGTCGTCATCACGGAGCACAAGCCGGACGGCAGCATCGGTTGCAATACCAACGTCGCTGGCGGACGAGATGACCACATGCAGCAACTCATCAGGCTCCACCACGTCGTCACCAACTACAAACACGTTGACAACCTTCTCCACTTCGCCAGGCGCAAACTGAGCCACCGTGTGTGTGATAGGCTCACCGAGCGGAGACCGAGCAAAGCCAAAGACGTCAAACGCGTCGGCAGCACTTAGCTCAGACTCGTCACGCGTCTGCACATCAGTGGGAAACACAAGATCCAGCTCAACATCGACGCGAGAGTGCATCGGCCGCGACAGCTTCAGGGTCACGTTTCCAATCGTACCTGTGAGATCCTTAGCGGTACCCTCATCGATAACAGCGTCCACAAACACCCATGCCAGCTCTGGCAGGCCATCGTCATTGACAATGACCACCGCAACGTCCAGCGTCTCCAAGTAGGACGTGTCACGCGGAGTAAACACCAGCTCGAGGGTCTCATTGCGCTCGTGCATGAGATCACCCAGCACAGCAACGTCAACGTTCACCATCACCGCGCCGGGGCCGAATGTGACGGATGAACCGGACACACTCTCGCCACGCAGCTCGGCATCAACTCCCAGAGTCGCATCGCCACCAGTGGCTACATCAAGAACAACAACACGCTCCGAAGGACGCGATGCTTGCAGAACGAGACCAAGTAGCGCCTCACCAGAATCACCTTCAGACAGGGTCGCTCCAACAGACGTACCACCTCCACAAGCCCCAGCAGAGGCCAGGCAGACCGAGAGCGTGGGAACAGGTCCCGAGTCAGCAATGCTCACAATCGTAACGGTGTCACTGCCCAGGCTAGCCGGTCCCGACACACCATCAAGAACAACATCGAACAACTCATTGTCGTCATACCAGGCGTCGCCAAGTACAACAACATCGAAATCCACAGAGGTAGCGCCAGCAGGTATAGCCACGGATGTCATCAGCGACTCAAAATCCACATCAGCAGAAGCATAACCGCCCGATCTCAATCGTGTCGCAACCTGGACAACTACGTCCGTAGACGCTGCAGAGTCCATGACCACTGTGATGGTAACATTCCGACGCCCACCCAACGATGTAGGCTCGGTCGTAGAAAGCGAGCTCAACGCCATAGTCACCAAAGGAAGCGACGGCGACGACGGCGGCGGTGAGAAGTCATCGTTGACAATGCTCACACTCGCGTTGCTCGTGCTTGTCACACCGCTCACGCCGTACGTCGCCACGAGACCAAAGTCAAACACCTCGGTCCCCTCGACAACGGTCTCGCCGTAGATCACAGCAGACACATTGTATGTCGACACCAGTCCACCAATCGTGAACGGCCCGCGGTTGCGGCCCTCGGTAGAGAGCACATCCACGTCCGTCCCGTTCGTCGCCGTCGACGTCGGGTACACAACCACGTCGACCACCGTCGGATGCTCCGCAGGCCGCGACAGCGCGAGCTCGAGCACGACATCCTTCGACGTCGCATCGCCCTCGCTCACATCTGCAGTCACGCTCTGCGAGCCAGACCCGGTACTGGCATCGGCCCCGGACACCACCCGCGTCGTCAGCGTCGGTGCCGGGCCAGAGTCGCCGATCGTCACCACAGTCGTCAGCGTCCCGCCAAGGGTGGCCGGGCCGCTCACGCCAGTCAGCGTCACATCGAACGTCTCGCCGTCGTCGTACCACGCGTCGCCGTACACAACAGCATCAAACACCGCGCTCGACGATCCGCCAGGAATCGTCACTGTCGTCGTCACAACCTCGAAATCGACGTCGCCCGTCGCCAGCGACCCGACGGCCACGCTCGTCACAACATCCACCGTCACCGGCGAAGGCGCCGGCGAGCCCATCTCAATCGTGTCGCAACCTGGACAACTACGTCCGTAGACGCTGCAGAGTCCATGACCACTGTGATGGTAACATTCCGACGCCCACCCAACGATGTAGGCTCGGTCGTAGAAAGCGCGCTCACCGCCATAGTCACCAAAGGAAGCGACGGCGACGGCGGCGGCGGTGAGAAGTCATCGTTGACAATGCTCACACTCGCGTTGCTTGTGCTTGTCACACCGCTCACGCCGTACGTCGCCACGAGACCAAAGTCAAACACCTCGGTCCCCTCGACAACGGTCTCGCCGTAGATCACAGCAGACACATTGTATGTCGACACCAGTCCACCAATCGTGAACGGCCCGCGGTTGCGGCCCTCGGTAGAGAGCACATCCACGTCCGTCCCGTTCGTCGCCGTCGACGTCGGGTACACAACCACGTCGACCACCGTCGGATGCTCCGCAGGCCGCGACAGCGCGAGCTCGAGCACGACATCCTTCGACGTCGCATCGCCCTCGCTCACATCTGCAGTCACGCTCTGCGAGCCAGACCCGGTGCTGGCATCGGCCCCGGACACCACCCGCGTCGTCAGCGTCGGTGCCGGGCCAGAGTCGCCGATCGTCACCACAGTCGTCAGCGTCCCGCCAAGGGTGGCCGGGCCGCTCACGCCAGTCAGCGTCACATCGAACGTCTCGCCGTCGTCGTACCACGCGTCGCCGTACACAACAGCATCAAACACCGCGCTCGACGATCCGCCAGGAATCGTCACTGTCGTCGTCACAACCTCGAAATCGACGTCGCCCGTCGCCAGCGACCCGACGGCCACGCTCGTCACAACATCCACCGTCACCGGCGAAGGCGCCGGCGAGCCCATCACAATCGTGATCGACACGTTGCGCGATCCGCTCTCGTCCGTCGGCTCCGTCGTGCTCACTGCAGCCACAGCCATGCCCACCTGCCCGAACGGCGGAGGCGGGCTCGGCGGAGGCGGCGGAGGCGGCGAGGGAGGAGGCGGCGGCGGCGGCGGCGACGGCGGAGGCGGTGAGAAGTCATCGTTGACAATGCTCACACTCGCGTTGCTTGTGCTTGTCACACCGCTCACGCCGTACGTCGCCACGAGACCAAAGTCAAACACCTCGGTCCCCTCGACAACGGTCTCGCCGTAGATCACAGCAGACACATTGTATGTCGACACCAGTCCACCAATCGTGAACGGCCCGCGGTTGCGGCCCTCGGTAGAGAGCACATCCACGTCCGTCCCGTTCGTCGCCGTCGACGTCGGGTACACAACCACGTCGACCACCGTCGGATGCTCCGCAGGCCGCGACAGCGCGAGCTCGAGCACGACATCCTTCGACGTCGCATCGCCCTCGCTCACATCTGCAGTCACGCTCTGCGAGCCAGACCCGGTGCTGGCATCGGCCCCGGACACCACCCGCGTCGTCAGCGTCGGTGCCGGGCCAGAGTCGCCGATCGTCACCACAGTCGTCAGCGTCCCGCCAAGGGTGGCCGGGCCGCTCACGCCAGTCAGTGTCACATCGAACGTCTCGCCGTCGTCGTACCACGCGTCGCCGTACACAACAGCATCAAACACCGCGCTCGACGATCCGCCAGGAATCGTCACTGTCGTCGTCACAACCTCGAAATCGACGTCGCCCGTCGCCAGCGACCCGACGGCCACGCTCGTCACAACATCCACCGTCACCGGCGAAGGCGCCGGCGAGCCCATCACAATCGTGATCGACACGTTGCGCGATCCGCTCTCGTCCGTCGGCTCCGTCGTGCTCACTGCAGCCACAGCCATGCCCACCTGCCCGAACGGCGGAGGCGGGCTCGGCGGAGGCGGCGGAGGCGGCGAGGGAGGAGGAGGCGGCGGCGGCGGCGACGGCGGAGGCGGTGAGAAGTCATCGTTGACAATGCTCACACTCGCGTTGCTTGTGCTTGTCACACCGCTCACGCCGTACGTCGCCACGAGACCAAAGTCAAACACCTCGGTCCCCTCGACAACGGTCTCGCCGTAGATCACAGCAGACACATTGTATGTCGACACCAGTCCACCAATCGTGAACGGCCCGCGGTTGCGGCCCTCGGTAGAGAGCACATCCACGTCCGTCCCGTTCGTCGCCGTCGACGTCGGGTACACAACCACGTCGACCACCGTCGGATGCTCCGCAGGCCGCGACAGCGCGAGCTCGAGCACGACATCCTTCGACGTCGCATCGCCCTCGCTCACATCTGCAGTCACGCTCTGCGAGCCAGACCCGGTGCTGGCATCGGCCCCGGACACCACCCGCGTCGTCAGCGTCGGTGCCGGGCCAGAGTCGCCGATCGTCACCACAGTCGTCAGCGTCCCGCCAAGGGTGGCCGGGCCGCTCACGCCAGTCAGCGTCACATCGAACGTCTCGCCGTCGTCGTACCACGCGTCGCCGTACACAACAGCATCAAACACCGCGCTCGACGATCCGCCAGGAATCGTCACTGTCGTCGTCACAACCTCGAAATCGACGTCGCCCGTCGCCAGCGACCCGACGGCCACGCTCGTCACAACATCCACCGTCACCGGCGAAGGCGCCGGCGAGCCCATCACAATCGTGATCGACACGTTGCGCGATCCGCTCTCGTCCGTCGGCTCCGTCGTGCTCACTGCAGCCACAGCCATGCCCACCTGCCCGAACGGCGGAGGCGGGCTCGGCGGAGGCGGCGGAGGCGGCGAGGGAGGAGGCGGCGGCGGCGGCGGCGACGGCGGAGGCGGTGAGAAGTCATCGTTGACAATGCTCACACTCGCGTTGCTTGTGCTTGTCACACCGCTCACGCCGTACGTCGCCACGAGACCAAAGTCAAACACCTCGGTCCCCTCGACAACGGTCTCGCCGTAGATCACAGCAGACACATTGTATGTCGACACCAGTCCACCAATCGTGAACGGCCCGCGGTTGCGGCCCTCGGTAGACAGCACATCCACGTCCGTCCCGTTCGTCGCCGTCGACGTCGGGTACACAACCACGTCGACCACCGTCGGATGCTCCGCAGGCCGCGACAGCGCGAGCTCGAGCACGACATCCTTCGACGTCGCATCGCCCTCGCTCACATCTGCAGTCACGCTCTGCGAGCCAGACCCGGTGCTGGCATCGGCCCCGGACACCACCCGCGTCGTCAGCGTCGGTGCCGGGCCAGAGTCGCCGATCGTCACCACAGTCGTCAGCGTCCCGCCAAGGGTGGCCGGGCCGCTCACGCCAGTCAGCGTCACATCGAACGTCTCGCCGTCGTCGTACCACGCGTCGCCGTACACAACAGCATCAAACACCGCGCTCGACGATCCGCCAGGAATCGTCACTGTCGTCGTCACAACCTCGAAATCGACGTCGCCCGTCGCCAGCGACCCGACGGCCACGCTCGTCACAACATCCACCGTCACCGGCGAAGGCGCCGGCGAGCCCATCACAATCGTGATCGACACGTTGCGCGATCCGCTCTCGTCCGTCGGCTCCGTCGTGCTCACTGCAGCCACAGCCATGCCCACCTGCCCGAACGGCGGAGGCGGGCTCGGCGGAGGCGGCGGAGGCGGCGAGGGAGGAGGAGGCGGCGGCGGCGGCGACGGCGGAGGCGGTGAGAAGTCATCGTTGACAATGCTCACACTCGCGTTGCTTGTGCTTGTCACACCGCTCACGCCGTACGTCGCCACGAGACCAAAGTCAAACACCTCGGTCCCCTCGACAACGGTCTCGCCGTAGATCACAGCAGACACATTGTATGTCGACACCAGTCCACCAATCGTGAACGGCCCGCGGTTGCGGCCCTCGGTAGAGAGCACATCCACGTCCGTCCCGTTCGTCGCCGTCGACGTCGGGTACACAACCACGTCGACCACCGTCGGATGCTCCGCAGGCCGCGACAGCGCGAGCTCGAGCACGACATCCTTCGACGTCGCATCGCCCTCGCTCACATCTGCAGTCACGCTCTGCGAGCCAGACCCGGTGCTGGCATCGGCCCCGGACACCACCCGCGTCGTCAGCGTCGGTGCCGGGCCAGAGTCGCCGATCGTCACCACAGTCGTCAGCGTCCCGCCAAGGGTGGCCGGGCCGCTCACGCCAGTCAGCGTCACATCGAACGTCTCGCCGTCGTCGTACCACGCGTCGCCGTACACAACAGCATCAAACACCGCGCTCGACGATCCGCCAGGAATCGTCACTGTCGTCGTCACAACCTCGAAATCGACGTCGCCCGTCGCCAGCGACCCGACGGCCACGCTCGTCACAACATCCACCGTCACCGGCGAAGGCGCCGGCGAGCCCATCACAATCGTGATCGACACGTTGCGCGATCCGCTCTCGTCCGTCGGCTCCGTCGTGCTCACTGCAGCCACAGCCATGCCCACCTGCCCGAACGGCGGAGGCGGGCTCGGCGGAGGCGGCGGAGGCGGCGAGGGAGGAGGCGGCGGCGGCGGCGGCGACGGCGGCGGCGGTGAGAAGTCATCGTTGACAATGCTCACACTCGCGTTGCTTGTGCTTGTCACACCGCTCACGCCGTACGTCGCCACGAGACCAAAGTCAAACACCTCGGTCCCCTCGACAACGGTCTCGCCGTAGATCACAGCAGACACATTGTATGTCGACACCAGTCCACCAATCGTGAACGGCCCGCGGTTGCGGCCCTCGGTAGAGAGCACATCCACGTCCGTCCCGTTCGTCGCCGTCGACGTCGGGTACACAACCACGTCGACCACCGTCGGATGCTCCGCAGGCCGCGACAGCGCGAGCTCGAGCACGACATCCTTCGACGTCGCATCGCCCTCGCTCACATCTGCAGTCACGCTCTGCGAGCCAGACCCGGTGCTGGCATCGGCCCCGGACACCACCCGCGTCGTCAGCGTCGGTGCCGGGCCAGAGTCGCCGATCGTCACCACAGTCGTCAGCGTCCCGCCAAGGGTGGCCGGGCCGCTCACGCCAGTCAGTGTCACATCGAACGTCTCGCCGTCGTCGTACCACGCGTCGCCGTACACAACAGCATCAAACACCGCGCTCGACGATCCGCCAGGAATCGTCACTGTCGTCGTCACAACCTCGAAATCGACGTCGCCCGTCGCCAGCGACCCGACGGCCACGCTCGTCACAACATCCACCGTCACCGGCGAAGGCGCCGGCGAGCCCATCACAATCGTGATCGACACGTTGCGCGATCCGCTCTCGTCCGTCGGCTCCGTCGTGCTCACTGCAGCCACAGCCATGCCCACCTGCCCGAACGGCGGAGGCGGGCTCGGCGGAGGCGGCGGAGGCGGCGAGGGAGGAGGCGGCGGCGGCGGCGGCGACGGCGGCGGCGGTGAGAAGTCATCGTTGACAATGCTCACACTCGCGTTGCTTGTGCTTGTCACACCGCTCACGCCGTACGTCGCCACGAGACCAAAGTCAAACACCTCGGTCCCCTCGACAACGGTCTCGCCGTAGATCACAGCAGACACATTGTATGTCGACACCAGTCCACCAATCGTGAACGGCCCGCGGTTGCGGCCCTCGGTAGAGAGCACATCCACGTCCGTCCCGTTCGTCGCCGTCGACGTCGGGTACACAACCACGTCGACCACCGTCGGATGCTCCGCAGGCCGCGACAGCGCGAGCTCGAGCACGACATCCTTCGACGTCGCATCGCCCTCGCTCACATCTGCAGTCACGCTCTGCGAGCCAGACCCGGTGCTGGCATCGGCCCCGGACACCACCCGCGTCGTCAGCGTCGGTGCCGGGCCAGAGTCGCCGATCGTCACCACAGTCGTCAGCGTCCCGCCAAGGGTGGCCGGGCCGCTCACGCCAGTCAGTGTCACATCGAACGTCTCGCCGTCGTCGTACCACGCGTCGCCGTACACAACAGCATCAAACACCGCGCTCGACGATCCGCCAGGAATCGTCACTGTCGTCGTCACAACCTCGAAATCGACGTCGCCCGTCGCCAGCGACCCGACGGCCACGCTCGTCACAACATCCACCGTCACCGGCGAAGGCGCCGGCGAGCCCATCACAATCGTGATCGACACGTTGCGCGATCCGCTCTCGTCCGTCGGCTCCGTCGTGCTCACTGCAGCCACAGCCATGCCCACCTGCCCGAACGGCGGGGGCGGGCTCGGCGGAGGCGGCGGAGGCGGCGAGGGAGGAGGAGGAGGCGGCGGCGGCGACGGCGGCGGCGGTGAGAAGTCATCGTTGACAATGCTCACACTCGCGTTGCTTGTGCTTGTCACACCGCTCACGCCGTACGTCGCCACGAGACCAAAGTCAAACACCTCGGTCCCCTCGACAACGGTCTCGCCGTAGATCACAGCAGACACATTGTATGTCGACACCAGTCCACCAATCGTGAACGGCCCGCGGTTGCGGCCCTCGGTAGAGAGCACATCCACGTCCGTCCCGTTCGTCGCCGTCGACGTCGGGTACACAACCACGTCGACCACCGTCGGATGCTCCGCAGGCCGCGACAGCGCGAGCTCGAGCACGACATCCTTCGACGTCGCATCGCCCTCGCTCACATCTGCAGTCACGCTCTGCGAGCCAGACCCGGTGCTGGCATCGGCCCCGGACACCACCCGCGTCGTCAGCGTCGGTGCCGGGCCAGAGTCGCCGATCGTCACCACAGTCGTCAGCGTCCCGCCAAGGGTGGCCGGGCCGCTCACGCCAGTCAGTGTCACATCGAACGTCTCGCCGTCGTCGTACCACGCGTCGCCGTACACAACAGCATCAAACACCGCGCTCGACGATCCGCCAGGAATCGTCACTGTCGTCGTCACAACCTCGAAATCGACGTCGCCCGTCGCCAGCGACCCGACGGCCACGCTCGTCACAACATCCACCGTCACCGGTGAAGGCGCCGGCGAGCCCATCACAATCGTGATCGACACGTTGCGCGATCCGCTCTCGTCCGTCGGCTCCGTCGTGCTCACTGCAGCCACAGCCATGCCCACCTGCCCGAACGGCGGAGGCGGGCTCGGCGGAGGCGGCGGAGGCGGCGAGGGAGGAGGCGGCGGCGGCGGCGGCGACGGCGGCGGCGGTGAGAAGTCATCGTTGACAATGCTCACACTCGCGTTGCTTGTGCTTGTCACACCGCTCACGCCGTACGTCGCCACGAGACCAAAGTCAAACACCTCGGTCCCCTCGACAACGGTCTCGCCGTAGATCACAGCAGACACATTGTATGTCGACACCAGTCCACCAATCGTGAACGGCCCGCGGTTGCGGCCCTCGGTAGAGAGCACATCCACGTCCGTCCCGTTCGTCGCCGTCGACGTCGGGTACACAACCACGTCGACCACCGTCGGATGCTCCGCAGGCCGCGACAGCGCGAGCTCGAGCACGACATCCTTCGACGTCGCATCGCCCTCGCTCACATCTGCAGTCACGCTCTGCGAGCCAGACCCGGTGCTGGCATCGGCCCCGGACACCACCCGCGTCGTCAGCGTCGGTGCCGGGCCAGAGTCGCCGATCGTCACCACAGTCGTCAGCGTCCCGCCAAGGGTGGCCGGGCCGCTCACGCCAGTCAGCGTCACATCGAACGTCTCGCCGTCGTCGTACCACGCGTCGCCGTACACAACAGCATCAAACACCGCGCTCGACGATCCGCCAGGAATCGTCACTGTCGTCGTCACAACCTCGAAATCGACGTCGCCCGTCGCCAGCGACCCGACGGCCACGCTCGTCACAACATCCACCGTCACCGGCGAAGGCGCCGGCGAGCCCATCACAATCGTGATCGACACGTTGCGCGATCCGCTCTCGTCCGTCGGCTCCGTCGTGCTCACTGCAGCCACAGCCATGCCCACCTGCCCGAACGGCGGAGGCGGGCTCGGCGGAGGCGGCGGAGGCGGCGAGGGAGGAGGCG